TCAATCTCAGGAGCCGAACAATAGTCCGGCCCTTTCATGTATGCCGGCCTTCATAACCAGTCCCCTCTATTAACTATGATCTGAGCAAAGCCTTCGACTTAGTGAGTCACGACATTCTACTATCTAAAATCGCTAAATACCACGCCAGTGAACCAACCTTGAGATGGTTCAAATCGTATTTATGTGATTGAACTCAAACATGCGCTATTTCCGGATCACTATCTAACCCTCTCACGTTGCCACAAGGGCATTCCAGAAGGATCAGTTTTGGGCCCCGTCCTCTTTTCACTTTATATTAACGACTTACCTCTTTGCCTACCAACTTCTGCCGGCGAAATATATGCTGATGATACAACGCTATGGACTACCGATCACTCCATTGACCATATCCAACAGAATTTGCAAGTCAGCCTAAACAATGCTAGCAATTGGTTCAAGTTAAACAAAATGGTACCTAACATAAAGAAGACGAAACACCTAATCATAGATACACGACAAAAATTGAAATACGCTAATAACCCAAACTTGGATCTTTATTTAAATGGCGACCGCTTAGAAGAAGCCAAGGATGCAAAACTCTTAGGCGTCAAGATCGACAAGCACATTAACTGGCACAACCACATCGAATACTTTATTAGGAAACTTAACTCTGGAATTTATCTGTTAAAAAGAGCAAATGGCTACCTTGACCTCCACTGCAGAAAATTGTTATTTAATGTGCTTATTAAGCCTGTTTTTGAATATTGCTGTTTGGTTTGGGGTAATGCCCCTAATGACCAATTGTTAAGAATACTTAAAGTGCAGAAACGTTGTAGTAGGTTAATATTAGATGCTAGTTTTCACAATAACTCGCTTCAAACGTTCAAGAAACAGCAATAGATGCCAATTGATGATGTAATACGCATGAAGAAATTGTGCATGATGTTCAAAATTGTGAACGGAGAGTGTCCGCATTATTTTACAAGCTATAGAACTTAGGTAAAAAACACCCATTCTTATAATACGGGAGCTTCTTTCCATGATCATCTCGCCGTGCCGAAATGTCGCTCCAACGCAGGCCTTCGAACATTTCATGCGAGGGCAACTTACTTATGGAACCGCCTGGACGACAAATTTAAAACTGTTATAGACGAAAGCAATTTTAAGAAACTTTTAGTGAACAATTTTTTACAAAGTAATTCAGATCATGAACATTTTACTATCGCTAGAACGTTTTGAATATATTTATGTGCGTGCTGTTCTCGATAATCTAGTTTTTACAATTCTTTTCAGTATAGCCCACAATGTAAACTACTGGGTTACCAGTAATTGTGTTGGCTATTAAAGTTTATTTATTTATTAAAAGTCTTCGACCGTTCTTATCCCGAGGCTTAAAATCGCTCGGTTTGAAATCGTGAGAGCACACCGTCCTGCTCTCAGTTATCTGAGAAACACGAAAGAACCTTTAATTTTGAAAGCTAAGCTTAAATGTCAAGCTCCTTGCCACCATAAAAAAAACATTGATTTACCTTAAAATATTCTCCTGTATCTCTACGGATATTGTTTACCCAGCCATCTCTAAGCTCTTTCTTGGAGTGTGGCGGAAATCTGTGAAACGATAACTTATTTTCAAGGTCGTAACGCTTATCTGCATTGCAACCAGGAACACAGCAATGAAATTTACTCATCGTGACCACTGTTGCAAGTTGCCCTGGGTAAAACTTGTCAGTTCTTCACCTGCTGGCATAAATTAAATTTAAACAATCCAGTGAAAACCCTAAAACCAAACCTCTGCATAAAAAAGCGATCAACTCGAATTATTACAAAGTAATCAAGGAGATTTTTCGATTAGGT